GATCATTCCCTCTGATGTAGCTGATGCTGCTCACAATGCGCACAACGCGGTCAACCAGTCAACGGGCGCACAACACGCACCGTGAGACCCACAGCCCGCGCCTTGATCCCCCCACCAGCCAATGATCCCATCGCGCCTGCCTCCGCTGACACGCGCACACAATGCCATCAACCGGACAACAGGCGCACGGCGACACCGTCAGACCCGCAGCCCGTGGCCTGATCTGCCTGGCAGGTCATGATCCCACCGCCCCTGACGCCGCTGACATGCGTGCGGTAGCAGTCGCACCGGCACGCGTGGCCCAAATTAGTATTGGCCTCCGCTGCGCAGCCTCGCAAACAATGCGCTCACAGCCTGTTCCCTTGCTCCCGCCCGCACGCCGCCGTGGGAGCCGCCCCCCGACGAGCCTCCTGGCACGGCCACGACCCGCGCACGTGTGCAAAGAACGCGGCCAGCGGCCGCAACCAACACCGCCAAAGCCTCTCCAAATACGGTTGAAAGCGCGTGCGCAGGCCGCGCCTTCCCTCCATCACCCAACTCGTGCAAACACACCTGCGCCCTACACCGCACGCATATAAACCGTGCCAAACATGGACAATACCAACCGCAACCCCGTGCTCTGCTTCTCACCAACACCAGATCGTCCCTGCCCCCACAGGACAACCTGCCATCATGCCGCCCAGGTCCAACAACCCCCTTTTAGCCAAGGACGCTGACGTGCGTATGCAACGCCGTCCGCAAGCGATGCTAGCCACCAGAGTGCTGAACAACGCAGGTAAGCAAGCACAACCCCGGACTTGCGCAGCGGCGTTCGCGACCCTGCACCCCATGCACCTGCAGAAATGACGGCATTGTGCAGCGACTCACCTACATTTCTGTGGATACAGTCCGGGCAGACACCCCTGATGCTAACAACGGTGCTGTGCAGCGCTCCGCAGTGTGCGCACCGCTGCCCACAGAAGCGCCACCGAGAGCTGCCGCTCCTCCGCCTTTGCTCACGGTGATGGACATGGACGCCGACCATGACGTCGTAGCATCGGACGCGCCACCGACGGCACAACTCCCAACTGCCCTCGCCACGCCTCCCGTTCCCATCATTCGCAGCATGCCTACCATCGAAACCCAAGGCCCCTCTTATGCCAAAGGACTCCCCTTCGCCAGGTCATATGCTGCCCAGGCGGTGGCGCAAGCGTCGGGAGCGCAGCACGGAGGATCCTCCTTTGGCCTGTTGGCCGTGGGCGCTGGCGACGCTGCCACCCCGCCATCCAATGGAACTTCTCCTGCAACTATCGAGGACGCATTAGAAAAAGTGAAAGTCGGAGCAGCGCAGAAATCGATGGATGGCGTGCTTCATGCACAGGGTGGGTGGTCTCCTTCCCTCTCCCCTCTGGAATTCCTGTTGGGAATTAAACAGTGACGGCCGACAGCATAAACATGCCATTTGCACGTTTCCGCATCAACCATGCTTGCCCAATACAAAACTTTGTCCTACCTGCTCCAGCAGTTTTCCAACAGTGGAGTTAACTCCCTAGCGCACTGCCCTCAACACCGCATGCAGTTTCCAATCACGTGCATGAACACATGCATAATTGACTACATTCTTTCATGCAGGGAATGATCCGTCCCCATTCATACCGAACAACCACCCCGCCCTCTACATGCGCCGCTTGCTCAAAGCACTGTGCGATAGACACGGTGGTCGGCCCCTCCCATAAGTCCGCAAGCCAGATGCTCTTTGCAGGTCCTTGAAGTTTCTCAGCCTCCAAAACGCTGATTTGGGGTCGCTAAGCACCAGCACCCCCAAGCGGTGCTCGACCAACACCAGGGCTGGCTCAGGAAATACTGCAAACATTTTAAAAGCGGCCCCGCTTCGGGCAAGCAGATCGCAGCGATTGAGGCTTATGGAGGGCGCATCGACAACGTGTTCATCAAAATGGATGAGGCGTCCAGATCATGGATGAACTCACCAACGGCCCCACAAGCCCCAATGAAGACGATTTTGAAGCCCCAATCAAATCAGAGGTACGAATTTCTTTCCTCCTTTCCCTGTTGCTTACTTTGTTCTATGTTCGGTTCCACCTTCTTCCAGATCTGCACCCATCGAGACGCCCGTTGCCCGTGTTTCCTCACCCAAGTAGAAGTACCGCCCGTTGTTCCTCCCAATGGTTTCTTCTTATTCCGTATGCTTGCTCATTGACATGTTCGTTGGCTTCTCTTTTCACTCACGGCTTCACATGCTTGCTGCGCTTGTTCCCCACTTGCACAACAACACAAACAGCAAGCCACAAGTAAAAAATAATGCTGTCCTCGCCTCTAGAGGCGATCTGCTACCGTTATGTTCACTTTCCCTTCTCGCTATTCCGCACCCTCCAACAAGGCATGCTTTCCTTTGCCAGACCGCATGAAGTGATGTGGTGACCGCTCTCCACTCTTTTGGGTAGTCATCCCGCCCTTCAGGGCTGCTGGATGGAAGAAGTTTTCCAATAATGCAGCTGGTGGTCACCACCACAATGACGAATCAAGGAGTCGATTCGGCAGTGATGACCCACTGCAATGGATTGGGATGTGCTGGGAATGTATTGGGAATGTGTTGGGAATGTATTGGGGATGTATTGGGAATGTATTGGGAATGCCTTGAAATGTGTTGCGACCACCCCTTGCTGCAGTGGGCAACGGCAGTGCCCATGTGCGTTTGTTCAGCGGAGGCCATAATGCTGCCGCACTGAGACGCTGTGTGTGCACATCATCGCCCTTGCCGAAAAGTATATACTTGTGGTAAAAACTGCATGCTCCACACCGCAGTACTGCCCAACTGCACAGCTGTTGCACGTCCAACCATTATATCTGTTGTGCACTGGGGGCCTAAGGAACGCCCTCCACCCGCCCGCCGGACTGTTCCCCGGAACCGCGCACCCACGTAGGCGGTCGGCGGGTTCTTATTTGTAATGTGGAAAGGTTGCAGATCAACAACAGGAAAGTGCATTGAATTGGTCACAAATCTGGCACAACGAAGGCAAACTGATTTCAATTTTGGACACCAGCAGAAACCGATATTCTTGCCATATTCTTGCGATTCTTGCGACTGCAATGCTATTTGACACTAGCTTGTGGTATCGCACCCATTTTTGAGCCATCGCAATGGCTGTGATGGCGTGCCACTTTGCGTCAAAATGACATGGAAGTTGGCATTGCAAAAATGGTGTTTTCTGATAGTTGAATGCGTTCAAGCTGGCATGTTGGCGTTCAAGCACACAGAAAAGTTTTGGTGAGTTAAGAGTGCCTGTTGGCCAATTTCACGTGTGGCAATCCTTTGCATAGACTTGAAAATATTGCACCACATTTGCAAGCCCGGGAGGTGGCCATCCCTTTTGATGTCTGGAATGTCCATGGGTGAATGCCTGCACTGCAAAACATGAAATGCACAGAATGTGGTGTCAGATGTAGGAGCAAGTTCGGCCTCGAAATTTCATGCAAGCTCCGCCAAATGCCAAAGTGAATATATCCATATTGTGCTGTTAAGCAGAAGCCTCAACTAAACTTTTAAACTGTTGCGAGGCTGGGTTCTCGTCTTGAACAACATGAAGTATATGATCTGAATTGCGAATAGAAGGTACAGCGACAACAAAGCATCTGTCAGATCCATGGAAACCAGCACAAATTCGGGTGTTGTCTTTCAAGAATTGGCCTCAATTCAAGAACCGTCCTTAGGAGAATTCTGCAGTGTATGCTGAGCAGCTGTGCACTAATGTCCTGAAAAGGCGACATGCAACATCCTTTCCCCTTGGGGGCGTGTGCAAAATGTGAATCGTCGACATTGGACAACATTTCGCGCAGCTGTTCTTGCTGGGGCCTCACATGCAAGGCGCTGGCGGCGACATGCCGCATTAACCTCCACACGATGCCCGAAGTCTTCCACACACTTCGTTGCGGCCACTGCGGCTCCTATGCGTGTAGCCATCTGCTATTTGCCCTGCTCGGAACTGCCATCTTCGCTTCCAGTCATCCAAGACTCGGTAATTCCCTCCGGTCCTGGCAAGATTATTTCTTCCGTCCGCCGGAGGTGAGAATTGTGCCCGAAATGTATTCCAGATGTCTGGCTAGTTGCGCTAGTAGAACTCCGAATTTGGACAATGTGCCCGGCCTGAACACTTTGGCCACATTCCAAAATAAACTTGGTCATTTTCCTGACCATGCGAGACCGGAGTTGTCATTAAAGTATACCCCAGCTCATACAATTTCCCTTGAAGAAAGAGTCGACTGGCCCCAATTCGCGAATGTCCGATTGGATACAAATGTGTACACACGTCTGATGTCTGTGTCTTGTACAAAATCGACGACCTTTACTTTCGAACCCGATTTTCCGCAGTTGCACATCGAGAGCCAACGTTAAAATCGGCATCATATTGCCTTTGGACCTGAGACATTGCCTCGCTGCTGAGTCAGCAGCGACGCAATGTCTCAGGCCAGCTGTGCAGACAGTGCTGCAGTTGGTTCCCTTTGCCAATGCGACTGGCACAACTTTGCCGCAGCACGCACTTCGGGGTACAACAGTGGGCCACCAGTCGCAGCAGTACACTCCTTTGATTTCGAAGCCTCGCACCGTTACGTAACGGCCCCAACGCAGTATGACATGGGGGCGGCGGCGGCCTCCCACGCCTTGCGCCATACCTCACACGAGGCAACGAGCCCAACTGCGCCGCACTCTCCGCCCGCGTGGTGTCTTGCCCGTTAGTCACCTTCACGTCGATCCTCATCACAGCACCTCCCCACTCCTGGCCGCCCGCAACTCCCCCTCCAAGCGCGTCCCGGCCCGCGAAGACTGCACAGCATCTCCTTTGAAATATTTACCCCTCGATTGCCACGCACCTGAGAGCAGGCACCCCAAGCGGTCGTCGAACTGAGTCTAGGCACGGACGCGGCTCGCACAACCGCCCTTGGACAACGCTCGAGGAAGCCCTTGGACACGAGCGAGGAGCGTGTGCGGGGAGTCAGGGCTGGCGATGAAGCGGTGGCTCGCCTGCGCGTGCTTAGCGCTCCTGACGTGCGCCCCAGTGGGGGGCCAGCGGAATGCTGCGGCCGAGGACAGGGAAGTCGATGATTTCATCCTGGGGAACACCGTCTTCTGGCTGTACCATGAGATGGGGCACGCGCTGGTGCGCATGTTGGAGCTGCCGGTGGTGGGGCGGGAGGAGGACGCGGTGGACGGCTTCGGGGTAGTGAGGATGATAGCCAAGGGCTCGGGCAACGGCAGCGACGCGGCATTGCTGGCGGCCGCGCGCGGCTGGCGCCTGTTCAACGACATGGCCGATGTGGAGAGTGTGTTTTGGGGCGTGCACAGCCTGGACCTGCAGCGCTACTATGCGATCGTCTGCCTGCTGGTGGGGAGCGACCCGGAGGGGTGGCGGCAGCTAGCGGTCGACGCCGGCGTGCCGGAAGAGAGGATCGACGAGTGCCCGGGGGAGTACGAGCTGATGCGGGGGGGATGGGAGCGCCTGCTGGCGCCCCACGCGCCCACGGCGAGCGCGTCGGCGTCCAACGTGAGGTCCGGCCGTTCCGACGGAATCAGGGTGACGTACGATAGGCCAAGGAGGGAAGGGGACAGGCGGCTGCAAACTCTGATCCAGGATAGCGGGCTGGTGGAGGCGGCTGTCGACGACGTCCTGTCACTCGCGGAGCTGCCCGCGGTCCTCAGGGTGCGGTTTGGCGACTGCCAGCAGGACGGGTTCTTCGACCCGGTGGCGCTGGAGGTGCGGATCTGCTACAGTCTGCTGGCCATGTTCCGCTCGTTCGTCCGGAACGACGTAGCAGATCGGTCCGAGGATGGCGCCAGGGGCGAGACCGCCGTGTTCATTCCGGGCCTGTCCTTCGACGAGGAGACGGTCGCGCTCTTCGTGCTGGGCAACACCGTGTTCGCGGTGTACCACGAGCTGGCCACGGCGCTCATACACGACCTGGATCTTCCCATAGTCGTGGGGGAGTCCAACGCGGCGGACAGCTTCGCGGCGGTCCTCATGATTCCCGAGGGACCGGGCGAACCGCTGGCCGACGAGCTGGTGATCGAGGCGGCCAACGGTTGGTACCTGACCGGGTTGGCGCTGGGGGAGAAGGGGGGCGAGGTGACGGCGTGGAGCGGCGATGACGTCAACCTGCAGAGGTACTATGACGTGATTTGCCTGTTCGTGGGCAGCGACAGAAGGGGCCTCATGACGTTTGAGAGGAAGGCCGGGCTGCCAAGGGACCGCGCCAGGTGGTGCGGGAGGGATTACGAGATGGCCGTGCTTGGCTGGCGGGAGCTGTTGAGGCCGCACGCGTCGTCAGGTGCGAGTGGACCGGGCGTGATTGATGTTGTGCACGAGGAGGCTTCTGGAGAGGGCAACAGGAACCTGAGGGACCTTGTGAGGGACAGCGGGGTGGTGGAGGCGGCGGCGGACAGTGTGTTGAGCTTGGTGGATCTACCCAGAGACCTGCAAGTGGTAATCAAGGACTGCGAGGGTGGCGACAGTGGTGACGAGACATTCTTTGATGTGGACGGAGGCAGGGTGGTCGTGTGTCACAGGTTTTTGGCCCGGTTGGAAGCGCTGATAAGGGAGGATATTTCTCAAGGGAAGGGCCTGTGAGATGGGCATTTAATCTGTGGGATGCAGGTGACAGCCTCAATGCCAAGATTTTGGCGAGGGGAGGGATATCGTTGGCCGTTGCTAGGAATTTTCGACCACTTCTTTTGTGTAACAATGTACAACGATAATTTTCTATTGCATTGTGGTTTACAGCGATCGGTGGTCAGGTGTGCATCGGCTCCTTGGCGACATTCCCCATGCAACCCGGCGACCATTTCTTGACAATCACATGTTTGCGATTAGTCAAAACTTTTAAGCAATCACAGCTACTTTTAAGTAAAAAGGGCTGGTAGATCATCACAATGGCAATATGAACGAGCAAAATGAATTGGGCTCCCAGAATGCATAAACTTGGGGCAATGCAGTTGATCTATCAATCAATCGTCCAAGAAATCTCAAATTGATGGATCAATACTGAGCACCCAACATTGCCACCAATCAACGCCAATCATCAATCCAAGAGTCGAATTATCATCATTCACCCTTGGTTTCAATCTAATTTCATGCCTAAGTTTATTGCCTTTAGTAACACATGACCATCACATATCCCTCTTGACACCAAGAAACATTTGAAAAGGAGCATCCGCCAAAACACTATATAATCCACCTGATGCTTCTCCAATGATCTTGAATGTTTTCAATATGCTTCAAAACTTTACTATGAAGAACCTCCTTTAAGCACTGTTGCTCTTGATGTGTTCGCCCAACTATGGCTCCTTGGTGCTCTTGCAATTTAGGTCTTCGTGGGGCCCCATTTGGCCCCTGGGCTAGGAATGGGCGGAAGCGGGTAATGGCCGATTGTTTGAGATGGCCTTAGGATGGCATTTTTGTAGATGAGACACCCTCCCTCTTTTCATACCAACCTTGACCTCTCATGCTACATAGTAACCCCCTGTAATCCCAACCTCGGTTTGTTGTAAAGCCAGAAGCATTCTACCATCCAAATCTCGTCCTTTCCAAATGTCTCACACAATGTACCTCGGACATTTTCTGGTGCCATTTAGATTATAGGCGGCCCATCAAAGGTAAACCACCTCCGCAAATGACCTTCGGTCATTTTGTGAGCAGCGGAACACATCATCGATCATCGAATGATCATCGATGATCATCGCGATGACCATTCTCATGAGAATGGAAGATTGAGGAACCACACCCAGCTTTGGGACTTTCTGTTCGAAACTCGACTCGATTCGGTTTTGTTTCACAGCGCGCTTTCGCGCCCTGAGACTCGAGAGTTTGCAGTCCAAACGGACTGACATGGGGCACGGCATGTGCTGTGGGGTTTTGGACCATGGGGATGCGCATGGAGGGTCCAAATGCTGGTCGAACTTCGTGTTTGCATGGCGGCATGTTGGGCAGTCCCGGGAGGAGTTTTGGGGCAGTTTCTGGGGAAGTTTTGGAGCGCCTTCGTTTGGAACTGCTCTGGGAGCGAGTGCGCGAGTTGTTGCCCCTCGCTAGCATTTAAAGGGTTGCCCACGCCAGGGGGCAGACTGAATCCCGAGCTGCAAGTCCTGGCGGTTGTAACTGTTCGACTTTGCAGCCGTACTGTCTCCGTGCGCCTGCTGGTCGGTCTGGGTTGCTGAGCGGATACGAACGGCCCTCTCACATGGCGCATCCTGGCATCTGGACGCCCGAATCGCTGACGGCCGGCGGGATCGACCACTGATCTGATTCGGCGTCACAACAGGTGACTGAGGCGGGCGTGGCGATGACTGATCGCCGTGCGGGGGGAGATCTCGGGCAGGGGCGTGAGCTGGCATTCCCGGGTTCGTTCGGTGCGTTGCGCCATGAGTCATGGCGCAGGGCCGAGCTGAATCTGGCTTCGGCGTGCATGGAATCCCTGCGGGTGGGTGCCAATCATGATGGGGCGCTGCGGGGGCCATGGTGAGGAAGTGACAGTTCACATGTCGGTCGCGGGTGGAGTACACGCGTACAATCCTGTTCCATCGCAGGAGTGACGCGTGCCAGCGGGGATCGTGACGGGATGAAGCTGAGGGCCAGCGTGGCACGTACGAGGCCTGGGCCAGGAATCACGTAACCGTGGCAGAGGGGCGGATCGGTCGGGGCTGGCATGCCTTGATGTGAATGACCGATCGTACTGGCACCCCACGCCTTACGTGAGGTGCAGGCGGTGGGGATCGCCGAGGGGGGCTGGTGACCGGCACCGTATTGCCGTCTCTATGGCGTACTACCTGCTACGTAAAGTACTGAGCGTGGTAATTGTATTCAATGGCAGTGAGAAGCGTCCAAGGAAAGCCGCGGAGACGTTTCCCCTCAATCTCTGAACATCATACTCGTTCATCTACCCATTTTTGCGAGCATGGAGCGACAAGGCGATGTGTGGTAATCATTCATTGATTAATGACCAATTTGGTATTTTCTATGACTAGCCACTCACGGGACTTCTCTGCATTTTGATCCTCAGAAGTCCCAACCTTTGCCCCATCTTGCGAAGTGCTATATGTGAACCGGCGCTCGCTCGCACACACATCCTGAGCCGTGTGGGTCCAAGGGCTCACCTTACGATGTTCTCCTAACCTAGTGAGGCAGAGGGCCCTTGTCACCAACCACATTTGCCCACTGCACTCCCTTGTAATGGGCAAAGGAGGGTATGGAATCCCCATACCCCTCCAAAGAGCAGCCGCGCAGCCTTTCCCCCATCCACAAGAGCATAACTCACAATTAGAGCTCCTCTCCTGTTCGTCTTGTCCACAAAACTGGGTGGGTGCTTCCCCAATTTAATTCTTTGGAAACCAATTTAAAATACGACGCCAATCTCCGCTAGGCGGCAGCAGCATTGTGCCACCTGTGCACGTTGCTGCATGGTTGCACCCGAGCACGAGAAGGCCTTACCACGAGAGAAGAAAACAAAACAGCCACACCACATGCATGATGTCATCCTGCGTGCATCATATTGATATTGCATGAACCAATTATGTAAGACATTGTGAACCGTCACACAAGCTGCAGAAGGTCCTGGGGCCTTGCGGATCCCTCCAACGCTGAAAAAATAGCACCCTCTGTGCAATCTTGTGTTACCCCCGTGATCCACAGCGTAAGCCATGTTTGATACTGCAGGGGGCCCAACACAAGCACCACCCCGCCATGCCACACGCCCCATATAATCCTCCATGATCCATGGCAGGCAACAAAGTGTGAGGAAACAAATGACCAACAAACTGCAACAATGGCTCGGTAGTATGGTGTGAAGCAATTTCGACCATGTGGCCACCTGCCAGCATCCCTCCTGCATGACTAGCATATGTTCAACGCCTCTGCTCTAGTCCCCTGACTCATTGCTGGCAACCAACGTTTCCAGGTGACTGCTGTTCCGCCCATTCCCTCTTATGCAAACCTGCCCGTCATTCGTTCCAGGACCCCGCTCCCCCACGCCTGCCTCCCCATTCTGACTCAACATACAGCCACCAGCTGTGCCCCTTTGGTTTTCTACCACAAGGCCCACCGTGACAGCATACCTCCCATCCACACTGCCACTGTTGCCAGGTTCTGGTCCCGACGCAATAGTCTCACTGCTCTGGCCCAACTCAGTTGAAGGAGGACCGAGCTCCCCAGTGCTGGTGGCCGCTCTGGGAGCGGCCTCTGACACAACAGAGTCTTGACCACCGCCCTTGACGGCGTTTGAGCCTGCCGGCTCTGGCGCATCTGCCCCCTTTTGCCTCTTGGGCCCAGGGTGTGGAGACTCTTCCAAGCTGCCACGGTCAGCAGATGGCTGCTGGGCGCCGACGCCGCTGTGTCCAGCCTGCAGAGAGCTCCCATCATCAAAAGACTCTGCACGCGTGCGCTTTTGGCCACTTGATGCATGTGCCTGCTCCATGCCTGTGGCCAAAGCATCGGCCGCTTGCATGACGTCGTCTCCGCCTGGCTGGACGGTCCTCACCTCGCTTGTGCCATGGAGTGGCTGACTCTGTGGGACATTCTTCAGGACTGTCGATGCTCCCCCATCCTCTGTGTGCACATTGGGGACATCTGTGCTTTGCTGGTTAGCTGCTGGCTGAGGCTTTGCACTACTGACAGGAGCAGCTACAGCAGCAGCACTGGTTTGAGCAGAAGGGCCATCGCCAGAGCTGGGACCCGCAGAGGGTTGCAACTCCTTGGCTGGGTGCCCCGGAGCGGCATTCGCAATGGGCTGTGCCAAACTCGATGCAGGGATGGTCCCTGGAACAGATGCCGATGCCGCCCTCTGTGTTGGCCCCTGATCACTGCTGACCGGCAGTGAGGTCTTCAGAAACTGGGCAATCAGGTTGCGGCCAATCTGCTGCAGGTTGGCTTCTGTGTCAGCAGCCTTCCGGGGCCTTCCAGCCCCTCCTGCGCCCTTCTTCCCTGGGACTGCTGCGACCGGTGCTGGCTGTCGGGCTGTGGGCTGTGGGCTGGATCTGGCAATGGTCGATGGCGGCTGCACCACATTACCAGCCCCCAGGTTCTGTTGCTGCAAAGTTGGGACAAACTGCATGGGGCCAACAGAGCTGGCAACAACATGGTTGGGAGGGGGCAAGCTGGGAACTCTGGCAGTCGATGCAGGATCGCTTGGTGCTTGCTGGGGAGCCTGTGGCACTGAACTTGCTCCAGGATGGGGAGGCAATGAAGAGGTGCCTGCCGTGGCAGGCATCGCCGCAAGGGGCACATTCACCGGCTCCTGCCCAGGCAACCTGGGTTGGAGTTGTCGAACAGCCAAAGGAGGCATGGCCCCTTTTGGTTCAGCCTGACTGCCACAATCCCGTTGTGGTACACTTGCAGTGGCTATGGGCTTGTGGGAATGGCCTGTCAGATGGTTCTGAGGCACACCTGAGGAAATTGAATTTGGTGACCTGATTACCTGCCTAGAGTCATCAACAGTCTGCTGAGGCACGGTCCCACCGACCCCGCTTGCAGCGGCTCTTGCTGACGGCGCCTTTCGACCAGCAACCATGACCTCAGGTAGCCCAGCTGGCTGCGATGTCATGACACTCTGAAGCTGGCCCACCGTCTGCTGTGAGGCTGGGAGCATTTGCGAACTTGCCCCAATTGGCTGTGTGGCCATCGGTGCCAAGCCTCCCCTCGATTGCGAGGCCTGAGGCTGCTGTGCCATGCTCCCGTTCGACTGTGAGGGCAATGAAATCTGATCCCTGCGTGTGGCAGCCTCCACCAACACTGAACTCTCTGTCCTGGCTGCAGTTGCCTGAGTGCTGGTTCCCATCTGCTGCCTCTCTGGCTCCGTTTCCTTGCCCATCGGTGCCTTCGTCCTCATCCCATCCGCAGGTGCCCGCACCACAGTCCCTGCCTTCTGAACCCCTGCAGCACTGACACCTTGAGCAGCAGCTTCAGCCAGCTTAGGGGCCGCCATCCCAGGCTGTGGGCTCATAATGCCCAGCCTGGGAGCCTGAGGGCCTGGCACTGTGCCTGCCGATGCAGCCAATCCACTTCTTTGCAAGTTCTGTGCCATGGTTGTTGCCGCTGGCAACCTTGTGGCAGAATCAAGAGCTGCTGGGCTGTTCCCGTTGACAGCTGGCTGGCCTGGCCCTGAGGCCACATCTCGAGGCTGTGGTTGGCTTCTTGGGACACTGGCTGAGTCGCCTCTACCCAGGTTTGAGGCCACCCCCTGCATCAGTTGCGCCCTGCTGCTGGCGCCCAGGGATGCATCCATCTGGGGTTCAGTTTGCGCACTTGGGCCAGGGAGCTTCTGGCTTGGCCGAGATCCAGTCTTTGGTGTTAGGTCAGGTGGCATCTGACTCGCCGAGGTCCCTTGAGCACCATCCATGTGCTCCTCGTTGCCTTCTGCTTGACTGCAAAGCGCCGGAGGTTCTTTCTTTACCGTTGCTTCAACATGGTGCCTGACTGTGCCTGAGATAGAGACATCGCCCTGGATTGGTGTGCTGGGACTGGCATCAGACTGGCCTTTCCCTGGCGCTGGCTTGGCTGAGGCAGCAGGACTGGCATGGTCAGATGTTGCAGGTTGGCCTTGGTTCCGAGCGATGAGGCCCTTGACAAAATCTGGAAAGTTGTCTTCTGCCAGTCCATGCGATGGCAAGGATGACACAAATGCAACTATTCGTTGCAGCACCTGCCAACATGATGGCGAGCTTGTAAGTTGTCCCTTGCTCACGTATGTGATGAACAGAAATAGGTACCCCATCTGCACTGAAAGCTTCTATTGCGTCCAAGGTCGGGTTTTTGTTTCTTGGACTTGCTTACTTTAAACAACGCATTTGGCTGCCTGTTCCCCGGCCATGGGAGCAACCTGAGAAGCCGAATGGACACAATCAGTGGCCTGTCCAGCAGTAATGCCCAGGGTTGGACAAACACACCCAATACCCCAACAACTGATGTTGGATGTGATAAGCTTACCCTGTTGTCACACCAGCCGAGAGAAACTGACATTGGCATGCATCTCAGAGATTGGCTTCAGAGCAAGAAGGGTACCACACAAAGGTAATCACCGACTGAGCGAGAGCCTCACCATTGACTGTTCCTCATGCAAGTCGTGCAGGCCCCTGGCACTGTCCAATACGGCACACAGAGACGTTCCAAACAGCTGTCCAAGGTCACATTGGATTCTCTCGTCGATGCGATGTTTGTTGCAGAAATCCTGCATGCGTTGCTGCAAACTCTCCACCTATTGATACAACAAAGCACCTCAACAACTCGCCACTTCTCTGTTTTGGTTCCCATTCAAAATGTTCAAAATCAAACTTGGCAATCAAGTTGCATGCAAGCAGAGTAGATGCATTCAGCACAGAGCACGACCACTTCAGAAAACTTGCAGGGATTTGTTGCTGCTGCAAATGCAGGCCTTTGCTAAAGCAAGAGCAACAGCTTGTGCAGTGCACACTCCTGTGTTAGAACCAGGGTATTCTCACCTCGTCCTGCATATCCTGCAGCAATCTTGCAGGCGCCGCAGACGACTGCACAGCAGCGCTTTTCACCCCTCCCACACCACACGTCCTCAAATCATCCAATCCCATTGCCTCTGTGCCAGCAGGGCCATCATCGGCTGCTTCAAGTTGTGGATCCACAAGGTGTTGATTCTGCATTCTGGCTTTACTGCCTGCAACCCGATTCCAGCCATCAGAAGCACCATCTGCTGGCCCACCAGCTGCCATCCCCTGACGCACTGATAGGTGTGTATCTGCTGGTGTCGAATTCATCCCCCTCCTTGCTTTGCCTGGTGCACTGCCAGAAACTGCCCGTCCTTGACTCAGATGATGGTGCATTCTCCGATTCTCAAGATGCTGACTTGCATCATTGTGTCCCGAGTTTGCTTGCTGCTGCCCAGGCATGGATGGGGTGCTGGAAGGGCTTGTGGTGGTGGATCGACGCGCAGCACCTTGCGCACCAACGAATGCCGCGGCTGTATTGGGAGCAGCGTTTTGTGCAGACCCCAGAACAGATGCTGTGCGCCAGCGGCGGGCATAGCTGAACCAGAAAAAGTGGCACATCAGCTGGAAGTCCAGCTGCGAGGGAGCAGAAAGTGGAAGGGAATCGAAGGGAAACGATAGCAAAAAGAGGAGGAAGGCAACAAGATAGACGAAGGGAAAACAGAAAGAGAAAATGAAGAATTCTCTGGCATCCAATAAAAATGTGCACGTCACCTGTGCTATACCTGCAATACATGACCCATCAGAACGTATCATGGCCACGACCAGACCGCCCATACCGTGTCACCCCACTACCCCTACAATCTCAACATACTACAATACGACTCTGTGGGACAGCACCACACAGTACATTTGTTCAGGGTGCCTTCCAATAGGAAGCAGAAAACCACACAAAAAAACAGACAGAAAGAGAAAGAAGAAAGAGGAGAAGAAAAGAGAATGAAGAAGAAGATTTCCTATCTATGATGTTGTGATAAAATGTGCATATCTGTCCATGCCATACCTGCAATTCCTGGACATCAGAATGTATCATGGCCATGTCCAGGGCCACCCATGTGAAGAAAGAAAACACAGAACCAAAGCGACGAACAGGAGCACAGAGCACATGGCAGCAAAATAGCAGCAAAGAACTAACTCAACAGCGACAGCGGCTCCTCTTCCGCATAACACTAACGAAAGCAATGGACTGGCACACAATAGTGACTGCTGCAACATTTTGCCGACTGTGTGCGTCAAATGCAAAAGAGCTTGAAAGCGAGGAAAGAGGAAAGTGATAAACAAGGAAGGAGTAAAATACAACAACGAGGAACCAGGTAAAGGACAATGTGCATTTTCACCTCGTTGGCTCATGGCGGTAGCCAATAAGATGTGACTTCCCCTTCCAGAAGTGCGGCACCTGTTTCTTGAGATACTTCTCAAGCTTCTGAAGCGAAGGTGTATTCTCAAAGTCCTGACGGCACACACATTCGTTAGCTGCAGCAAATTCAGTAGAATTGAGTTACATTCCTTGCATGTTGTATGCTGGGTACCTGGCTCATCAGTTTCAAGCAGAGCATTGCTCTGGCTGGACAGATCTGACTCCACAGTGCTGCACAGCGATGTCATGCGCAGGTCATGCCAGCACCCACCATGCCACTACCACATAGACCCAAGGGCAACCTTTCCGCATTTTTGGAGCAGATCTTCAATTATGAGTCTCAATTGGCTCAATACAACCAACTGAAATAGTCACAATTTAAGAGTTCACTGAAGGATTCCAAGGAACAAGAATCGAAGCCCATAACTGCACAACGCATTGATTTGATTTACATAGCACACGAACTGGCTTGCAGTGGTTCTGCCCAATCTGCAGTTTAAGATCATTTGGGCAGAAGTCTTGTGCCCCGTGAACACATGAGCAATAGGTCTCAAGGTCCTGGATGGTACTCTGTGCTTTTAGGCTTCTAGGCACCAGATCACAGCTGTATGCTCCATTTGTTACGTTCAGTTGAGGGCTGGATTCATAGATTTTGGATGCATGCACTGCTCAGGGTTTGTATAACCTCCACCTGCTTGTCATGGGCAGGTTCAACGAAGTCCACTTGCAGATATCCAATAACGCCCCGTCCCATGCTGGATGCACTTGAGTACACCTTCCAAAAGGGTTTGATCAATCGGTTGCGGTGGTACACGCAAAACCCAGACACGCTCGTATCGGGTGCCTCCTTGGCAAAGCCAATGTACACAGGCACAACCAATTGTCCTGCAGTGCAAAATTCAGTAGTGGCGAAATCAGTGACAGAAAACAGCAAATCGATGCAGGAAGACAAAGCAGAATCCATGGATGAACAAGCGGAAGCAGCAGAGGCAAAAAGAATTGGTGCAAGGGGAGCAAGTAGTCACCCCCTTGGTAATCGCTTGCTCAAGGAGGGTGCTTTGCTTTATTTGCAGTGCCTTGAGTACTCTAATACTCTGGTAGATCTGCTATTTGTATTCTATAGTGGGTATGCTACTACTGCTGGATCACTTAGGGAGTTGCTACCAAGATTGGAGTTCGATCGTGTTGATGCTACAGTACGAGGAACACAACATGCCCAAATCACAGAACAAATATTCGTGCTTATTTGCACAGAAAGATTAGTAAATAGAGTGCCGGACCAGTTTGGCTTCCTGGCTATCCCGGCATGTGGCCAGGATATTCAGCAGGATTGGACGCGCCAGTAATTTGAGCCACAGTGACGTGATGCCAGACATCGTTTGTCTGGTGAAAGAGCGCCAACATCGACTGACAGGAACCCAAACCCTCGCATTTTCATTTTGTTCTTTCTTGCTCTAATTATGAATTCTAAAGAATTTGGTCAATGCAACCTTGGTCAACATAAAGCTGTGGGAGACAGCAGTGAGATTTCATGAACAGTCTGCCTGTGGAGTCATACATGACTGTTCTCTTTGCTCACTTTGACCACATCAGCAGTCCAGCAGATGAAGCATACAGGCACCACCCAAACATCGACAAGTGCCTGGTGCAGCCCTAATTTCCCTTATGGGAAAGATCAAAGCACCTTCATCACTTGTCTGCTGCCGCGGTCGATACTCGTAATTCATAATGTGCTTCATGCCACATCTGACGGTCGTCTTTTCCACATCAACTCCACGTATGATGAATTTAAAGTTCTGAGAAGCACATCATCACACTCAGCACCAACAGTTTTTGTTTATACTGCAACGCATTGCATTGCACTGAAATGTGCTGCACTGTATTGCATTTTGTTGCAGAGAACTGCGCTGTACTTAGGCAAGCAGGCATTCATTATGTAAGAAAACACAGCTACATAAGAAATAGGGAAACTATGAAGAGCACTAAACTCCAATCGAATCCTCAATGAAACATGCAAGGCGAGAGCTGCAGGATTGTCAAAATGAAATAATGGAGAAACGGAGACAAAAAGAACAAAAAAGAGAGCAAAACAATGCAACCCTGCAAAAGATCGAAGTGGAAAGCAACAAAAGAACAGGCAATGCCCAAGAGCTGCTTTTGTGTGCAAAGAAGGCCAGCTAGCTGCGACAAGGAGAGATTGGCAGGCGCCACGCAAGCTAGAGCACACTACAACATTGTAGTATGCGTCAGCACTCCAATGATGCAGTACTTTAGTAGTGGATTTGCAACTCCACTCGGTACTGCTTCATGCAGTACTGCACATGCAATTCCACAGTATTGAAACACACTGCACTGCACCACATCGTACTGCCCACTTGACCAGGCCCACCTGTGGCCACTCGAGGTACAGGATGCCCACGTAGGCCCTCAAGGAGTGCCTGTATGCATGGCACCTGGCTGCGCCCTTGTCCACTTGACCGTTTCGTGTTATGACTTCTTTCATTTCGTCCTCCCAACCGGGCAGTCGCATGTCATGGGGATGGGATACGAAGTCCAGCTCTGGGGTATCATCCGACGTCTGCCACAGGTTCCAAATGCACACACGGGTGCCCTGCAGCACAAGGGGGCAGGGGGCAGAGCAACGAAATTTCAAACGAAGCAGCAGGCGGGGAAACAA